TTTTCACATTTTCGTCAGTTCTAGAAAAAGAAAAAGAAAAATGAAAAACGCTGTCAATCTAATTATAAAAAAATAAACTTTGGGTCCATTTGATTGTAAATATGAAATTGAATTGAATTGAAAATGAATTTCAGGTAACTGAATTGTATTTTTCTGAGAATTGTAAATTATTGTATTTGATTGGGATAATTTTTCATGTAGAAAATATGGAAATAAAAGTGTTTTTTATCTTCGTTTGATTTTGTTTTACATGAAAATTGTCAATTAAAATGATAGATTTTACTGGTAATAGGGATGAAATTTTTTTCCATTACCAACACAAAAAAAAAATCAAGAAAATCATTTATTTTTTTATGTTCGTTTGGCTTTGTTTTACATGAAATGGAAAGATGGAATTTGATTTCCATTTTCCATGAAATTAGGGTGCAATCAAACATAGTCTTAAGGTTTTAGCATAAAATTAAATTTAATATTAAATTCTATAAAGTATCATTGACCCATATTTTGTAAGAATTAAAATTAAATTTTTTGTAAATTTTAATAAGAGATTTTGAAATGTATAATTAAAAAGTTATGGAACTATAAAATACATGATTAAAATTAATTATTTGACGTTAACTTAGATTAAATCTAATTTAAATCAGTACCTGTTATCATGTCACAATACCAAGTAGATGATAAATTGGAGAATTGAAAATTGAGAATTAAAAACGTTCACAAGAAAAAACGTAATCTGTCTCTTAAAGAGAATATTTTCCAGAATTAACATGACGCTTTAATATATTTGATATAATCAATTTGTCAAAAACCCAATGGCTAGCATACAGGTTTAATAATACGAAGCTGACACTATTGAGGACGTATTACACTTCAAACCTGTACCAAATCGAAAGCTGTGCATTTCAGAGGTCAAGAGCATTTGGGAACACAAATCAGACAAAAAATTTCTATTATCAACTTTGAACTAAAACTGATAACATAAATCAAAGGCTTGTCTGGAGTCTAAAATGCCACATTTTATACGTCTAGTGACATTACAGCAAGAAAGAGAAGAAAATGAAGCTTCATATCTAATCTAATCTAATCAATACTAACATATAAAAACCATAATCATGCAACAGCCATCGGCTCAACTGAGACTGCCACAGAAGCAGCCTCTGGATCTTTGGTGGTTGGAGGTGCTGCTGCCAGAGAAGGCTTCAGGTGCAGAGGTGCATCATGCTTAAGCTTTACAAGTATCTGTCGCATTCTTGCTAAATCAGTTGGTTTGCCAGGCTTAGGCCCTTGGACCACAACAACCGAAGGCCTCTTCTCCTTTTCCTTCTTCNAATCTTCCATAAAATAATATTACACGTAAATCGAAAACTTTTCCTTCCTTTTTAACAACTAATTTTTCAAAAAATCACTATTCCACCCATTTTCATTTTCAAAAAATGAGGGCCAAACGGGGGCTTAAAAGGACTAATATACAATTTATACTTCATTATTAAAAAATGGTCTCCACTGTTTCGGTATGTCATCTTCTTCCTCACCACATACCCATTCCCCACCTTGCTGACTCCTCTCATCATTTCCACTCCCTCCCTACTTTTGCATTCTACACCACCTCCTCCCCCAACTGGCGAGGCTCCTGAGTTGCTATCGGGCATCTTGCTACCCCCATCTGTAGGGGGAGGGGGAGAAGGTACACAAGATGATTAAGTAGTTTAGAAATAGGCCAGTCTATAGAAGATTAGTAAGGGATGCTATTTTTTATATTTTCTCCCTCCAACAACTCAGTCCATAAACAAGATCCTCTAATATCAACACCATGATTGAACACATAAAACCTCCTATGATAAAGTGCAATATTCACTCCTTAATTTTTATCCTCAAAACACACTCAAATGTAAATGCAAAAAACTTCCATCACCTAAAAAACTATTTAATTCTGCAATCAAGATCTCTAAACCGTGAATAATACAACCTCTTCAAAATATGCAAAATCAATATACTTCCTACCAATAAATGGTAATTAATTTTCTTCAGTAAATACATATTGATACTAAACATAGAAATTGATTTCTACAAAAACACCATTGTCATATTGGAAACTATTTAATTCTGCAGGAGAATCAAGAACTTTAAACCGTGAATCATGCAACATAGTCAAAATATGCAAAATCAATATACTTCCTACCAAATAAATGGTACATAATTTTCTTTAGTGGGTACATATTTTCATTTATCATAAATTGATATCTATGAAAACGCAAGTCTTATTGGAACAGATACAATGACACCTAATGAAAAGATCGAAAACCATACCATTTAATATAAAGCTTAACTAGAAAATCGATCTGCAAAACTTCAAATTTAACCTTAAGTAAACCCTAATTAAAGAACATAAAAAACAAAATTCAAGGAACCATAAAAGTTTCTAGATTATTTAACAAATTAATCTAGAAAAATAATATTACACTATTTCTCTCCTAAAATTCGATTGAAAGTAACAAAATGAGATTATAAATGGAAAGATCTAACCTTCTCCATTCTCTGAGAGCATAACCCTCATCAGGTACCATTTCCGCTGGGGGCGGCAAAATTGGACCATTATCATTCGATTCCGCCGAGAAGTCTAGCGGATCGGAGGAGAATGCGCCAGTGGAGACGTAAATTGACGGAGGAGAGGAGGGGTCGGCAGCCGGTTCCGATTCCGTGACGTTCGAAAACGAGTCTAATTGCTGATATGGGTCTGAGACGAGGTAACCATCGTCAAAGGAGTCAGTGAAATCGGCAGATGGGGAGTCGGCACCGAGTTGGTCGAACGAGTCAGTGAAGGAAGACGACATCTTTTTTTGTTATGGCTCTCTGATTAGTCCGAAGACAACGACTATGAATGAGTGGGCCAGTGGGGGAAGAAGAAAAATATAAATTTTAACGGTGAATATTTCAATTTTGGACCTTTGGTCCTGAAAATTCAATAAAATATCGATTGAATCACTCATTTATAATTTGTCTCAATGAAATTATTGAACTCCAATTTACTTTCAACGTCACTTAATTTGTTACCTTTCCATTTTACCAATTAAAATTTGATTCATTCCTACACAATTTAATCCCCGTTTGTCCCCCATTTTAGGGAAATGAAAATGGATGAAATAATATTTTTTTTAAAAATGAATAGTTGAAAAAGAATGAAAAATTTTCAATTTACGTGTTATATTATTTTATAAAAGATTGTATGATTGAAAATAGAAGAGAAAAAAATGATATGTAATAATGGCCAAACGGGGGCTAAACCATAGTTATCAAACTCTAACCAATCCTTAATCTAAACCAATCATTAGGCCACTGATTCAAACGACAAATTCATGATTCAACAGTTCGATTATTGTTGACTTGACCTCTATGTGTGTGTGGAACTAATAAATTTATAAGTTTATACAACTTTTAAATAATCTATCGTTGATATGTTTGATGATGCATTCTGCACGTCTAACTTTAAAACTTTTCGATACTTTAATGATTAAAACTCATGGTCGCTACAAAACATTTTACTATAATACTGTGATGAATTAAATTATCA